TTTTCCACCCACCACATACTCACTTTGGCACACAGAAGGATGTCCAAGAAATCCAAGTGCCTCTTCTTCCTGATCTTCTCCAGCTCTCTCTCATTCTGCAGCTGAGCCTTCCTCTGCCGGATCACTTGATCTGTCCCAGGATAGGAATTACCAGGCAAATACACAGCTACAACAACCCCTAATAAGCCATTTTACCCCTATGACAATCTGGATGTCCTGTGGAGCTCAGGATGCACAGGTGAGTGGGTGTGTGGGAGTCTAACACCATCTGGTGCAGGCCAGGCCTCCCTCCGGAGCATAGCCATGGGAATCCCTGATGAATGCTGGTGGGATGGGTCTCATTCAACACTGCTAACGTGATGATCCTGGTATTGTGCTGTACCTGACACACTAACATCTCAGCTCCTAACACTTTCAGTAAGATATGTCCAGCATAAGGGTGTCCTAGTTTCTTTCCATTGTTAGCAGGTGCCCTGCCTCTGTCTCAGGGGCCATGGCCCTATCTCTTAGACTGAACCTGGTAAAGAAAAGGAGACAGGATTAGAGACAGAACCTGTGTGCTCATGGGCAAGCTGGCAGGCATGGTGGAACAAGCGGCCATCAGAGGTCAGTCTGTAGATGGTGTCGTTCTGGTGAAAGACATTCCTCACACGAGAAAAAAACAGGTAGTTCATATCCCCAACAGCCTGAATGTAGGACTTGGAATTCCTGATGGAGAGATTGCAGAACACATCATACTATGGGGCCACATGACCTGGAAGCAGTGTGGGTTCTATATGGAGATTTCTAAATGATTGGGACAGACAACACTGACACCTTATATCTGTGTTACATCCCTTGTGAGCATTTGTTGAGAGCCACAGCCAAGTAGGAATGGCCCCTGGCATTTTGCCAGAAGTAATGGTTGAAGGCAAGCCGTTAAGATGATGCTGGATTGAAACAGGTTGTGTATTCAATTGTATATACACCCCTGCTGTCTGCCTCGGTGCCCGCTACTTTGGAGTTCTTGTGGGGATGCCTGCGGAGTTCCTTTGGTTGGTGAAGTTCCGGTGGAGGGAGTTCCGGTTGGTGTGTGGTGCCTAGGATGGCCACATGGGTGGCGTTTGCCGGAGTTCCGAAAATAAAGTTTGTTCCTGCTTGAGTGGCTCGTGATTTGTGCCCAGCCAGACTGTGGCAAGCATTGGGACTTTAGAAGATGACATGAGCAATCAGACTTCTACCCCATTCAGGAACCAGGGACCTGTGGATGGGGCATGTTTGGGTCTGCTCAGGAATCAGGGCTTGGTCTGGGACCAGAATAAGAATCTCCCATTTTAATGTGGTAAATGTCCAAGATGCATCACTCAAATCTTGGGTAAACTTACACCAGTTGATTAGAACAAGTATCCCTTACCTCATGGGTTTGGCACTGACCTCTCCTGCTGGACACTGCCCTGGTGGCTGAAGGCACACTTCATGATGGTGTCCAGGGTCATCAGAGAGACATGCTGAAAAATCTCCAGAGAGTTCTGTCCAATAAGCTGCTCCCATTTGTCCTGGGGAGGGAGAAGGTCATTATCCTATTCAGTTCCCCAAAAGATGTATGCTTGTAGGGCTAACCTCTTTCTCTGCATCTCCAGGTATTCTTTCCTAAATCTCAGAGTCACATGCATTTTTGCAAATTAAAAGTATGAAGCAAATATTTGTACTCCGATGTTTTCTCAGAAATTTTTATTATAAAATGAAACAAATATTTACATAATAGATTATTAATTTAGAATTTGGGGCAATCACTTATGACCATTCAATTGATAAAAAAGCTCATAGGCCACCATTTAAGTTTTAAATTAATGAGCTAGACTTAAAAAACTGGCAGAATACCAAATATGAGGACAAGAAAATTTCAAGCAAATAGAACCTCTAGGACTCATGAGCCACATATTGAAAATAACTCTTCATTATCTTTCAAAAAAAAAAAGTTGCTGAGCACTGTCAGATCATTCATCTGAGTTCTGATGGATATGATGAATGTGTAGGTTCACTGTGAGATGTGGATCTGGTGTCCATATCAATTCATGGGTCACTCAAGTCCACATGGAAGCCCTCAACTCCACCCTGAGAGAATCCTACCCCAGGATCCGCAGTGCTACTGAAGATGCCATTGCACAGGTCTGCTGTCAAGCTGGATCAAATCCCCCTGCTGAAGACTTGGAAGTAGGAAGGGGAGTCTATATCCACCATGATGCTGTCTGCCTTGAACCATAATGAAGTGACCATATCCTGCTGCCCGGCCACTCTGCTCCTTCAACTTTTGAAGAACTGACTCTCACAGTAATGGCCTGAGATTGTTGTTCCATGTGACTGTTTTTGATGGCTGTTAGGCTGCGGAATCTGAGTGTGGGCCTTGAGTGAGTGAATGGGAATGAAAGAGAGAGACTCACCAGCATCACTCTGACAGAGTCAGCCATGATTCCCACGTAGGGCTTCAGGATGTCATAGTGGAAGGCTGGGGTCAACATCCGGCGGTGCTGGAACCATGTCTCCCCATTCAACAGGAGCAAACCATACCCTGAGCCATACATGGTTGTGTGCATGAGTGAGCGGACAATGGGAAGAGAGGAAGTCTGGGGACAATGTGGGAGAGACTGATGGTGGGACTCTTGGGGAAAAAACCCAGAGGGCAGAACATCTTTGGACAAAGACAGTAATGACTGGCTCTTTTCAGGAATATAGATTTCCAAGTTGGGCTGGTATATCTATTGTGATTATGACAGCTGCAAAGGAGATGTAGAAAGGATTTGTGGGCCAGAGAAAGAGGTACCCAAGTCCATGTCAGGCTGAGACTGTTTGGAGGTACCTAGAAGGAGAGGTGGAAGGAGTGAGCCTCAGGAGGGCTCACAAGAGCTTGCAGGAGGGGTGGGGTTCTGGATAGATTGAAAGAAACTTCTCAGCCATTAGAGAAGTGCAAATCAAAACTACTCTAAGATTTCATGTCACTCTAGTCAGAATGGTAGCTATTATGAGCTATTATGAAGACAAACAACAATAAGTGTTGGTGAGGATGTGGGGGAAAAGGCACACTCATACATTGCTGGTGGGACTTCAAATTGCTGCAGCCAATATGGAAAGCAGTATGGAGATTTCTTGGAAAATTGGGAATGGAGCCACCATTTGACCCAGCTATAATATTCCTCAGTTTATCCAAAGGACTTAAAAACAGCATAGTACAGGGACACAGCCATATCAATGTTTATAGCACCACAGTTCACAATGGCTAAACTGTGGAATCAGACTAGATGCCCTTCAGTAGATGAGTGGATAAAAAAAATTTATACACAGTGGAAAGTACTCAGCAATAAAATAGAATAAAATCATGGTATTTGCAGGTAAATGGATGGCGTTGGAGAAGATGATGCTAAGTAAAGTAGCCAATCCTCAAAAAAAAAATGCCAACTGTTTTCTCTGATATAAGGAGGCTGACTCATAGTGGGGTAGGGAGGGGGAGCATGTAGGAATAGACGAACTCTAGATAGGGCAGAGGGATGGGAGGGAAAGGAAGGGGGCATAGGGTTAGAATTGATGGTGGAATGTGATGGACATCATTATCCAAAGATACATGTATGAAGACAGGAATTGGTGTGAATATACTTTATATACAACCAGAGATATGAAAAATTATGCTCTATATGTGCAATATGAATTGTAATGCACTTTGCTGTCATATATAAATTTTTTAAATATTAATTTTAAAAAAGAAATGAGGTTTTATTTAATGGAAATCATGGTAGTGACCCATCAAATCTTGTTCTGTGTGAGTCAGAGAGAGAGATTTTGCCAACCCTAATTTCAGAGTGCCCACTTTCAGATGTACATACCAATCCAGGGAGCCACAATTCTGTATGTATTATGAGATTTTGGATCTGAAAAGTAAGTAATGGGGTTAATTGCAAGAAGGAGACAAATAATGAAGACCCAGGGCCACTGTGGTTGAGGCCAGGCACTGTCATGAGTGCCTGATGACTGTCAATTGGCATTTGGTTCCATGTCACCTCCCACTTCCTCTCATCCCATTCTGTCTCTGCTACATCAGCTAAAGGGCCCAGGAAGATATGGACCAGAAGGACTGCAATGAGAAGCTGGCAAGGGGCATAGGACCTGTTCTCAATGACAAAGAATAAGACTGAGCCTTGGAATGTTCTCACAATGAGTGATGGCTTACTTAGCCCATTATTAAGTAGGGGGAGATTAGAGGTTTCAAACCAAAGTTAATGTGGAGATGAAGAATGCTTTTTGGATATAGGCCAATACACCTAACAGATCACGCCAATATGCCTAAGAAATCACCTCAAAAGATACAAGCTGATATACCTAAGTGATCACCTCAATAGTTTTAAAAGAGACAGAAAAAAAATGACATAAAAATCATCCCCCACCCTCCCTCCCTCTCCCTCTCCCTCCCCAATAGGTGCCACTCACTTGCTGCCTCACTTCCTACTTCCTCCCTCTGCCACCCAAGCACCAGCCCTGCTCCAAGCTGCCCCTGGGGTCCCTTCCCCGCCAACAGAGGAGCAGCTGATGTGGCTGCCAGCAGCACATTATCTCTTCCTCCTTCTATTCTCTCGCCCTCATGTCCCCAACATATGTGAAACCAAGTACATTTCATGAATTAGGATATTGAGACTGGGATGTCTGAATAGTATATTACAGTTGTGTTGCATATTCTTTTTTTTCTTCTATTTTTACATTTTTAATTTTTCTTAAGATTTATGTCTGTTTGTTTTATGTACTCTACTGTCTTCCCACTTACTTCTCCACCCAAAATTACTTCTCTCTTCTCCCGCTACTAACCTTCTTTAGATTCCTCTCTCACACAATAATTCCATATCCTCACCTCCTACCCCCTCAGCCTATCATCCTAAATTTCACCCCTAGTTCTTTGTCCACCATCAAAAACTGTAAATATTTTTGCAAACATAGTGTTCATATTGTAGAAAATAATTGAACTTCTGTATATTGTATATCAGTTACAATATACAATATACAATACTTTGTATGTTGTAACCAAACTGTAAACCTCTTAATAGCAACTATTTGGTTTAAGGTTGTATATTGTTTGCATTGAGATCTTTAACATTGTCCTTCCCCTCGAAGGAGAGGTATTGGAACCCTGTAGGGGCACTATAAGCCTATAGGGTAAAATGGCAATTCCTCGAATCTGCATTGTTAGAAGGGAAGACACCCAAACAATATGAAAAAATAAGGGAAGGAAGTGCCCCCAAACAAATCAAGATACTACATTATAAGAATCCATGGACAGCACAGCAGAAGAAATTACAGAGAAGGAGTTCAGAATGTATATAATTAAAATGTTCTGTGAATTAAAGGGTGATATAAGGGAGCAAATACAGACAGCAAAAAAATCATTTCGATAAAGAGCTATATAAACAAATATGGGAAGCAAAAGATTACTTCAATAGGGAGATAGAGGTTCTAAAAAAACAATCAGAAATAATTAAAATGAAAGAATAATAAATCAAATTAAAAGATCACTTGAAAGCATCACCAACAGATTAGACCACTTGAAAGACAGGACCTCAGATAATGAAGACTAAATATGTAATCTTGAAAAGAATGTAGACCACACAATGAAGATGGTAAGAAACCATGAGCAGAACATTCAAGAAATATGGGATAGAATATAAACACCCAATTTAAGAGTTATTGGGATAGAGAAAGAAATAGAGTTCCAAACCAAAGAAATGAACAATCTATTCAATGAAATAATATCAGAAGATTTTCCAAACATGAAGAATGAATTGTAAAATCAAATACAAGAGGTTTACAGGACACCAAATGTACAAAATCACAACAGATCCACACCAAGGAACATTAAAATGAAAATGCCTAGCATACAAAATAAGGAGAGAATTTTAAAAGCCATGAGAGAAAGGAATCAGAATACATATAGGGGGAAACAAATTAGATTTTGAGAAGATTTCTCAACCAGACCCCGAAAGCTAGAAGATCCTGGAACAACATTTACCAAGCTCTGAAAGAAAATGGATGCCAACCAAGAATCTTATATCCAGCAAAATTATGCTTAAAATTTGATGATGAACTAAAAAACTTGCATAATAAATAAAAGTTAAAAGAATTTACAACTAGAAAGCCTGCACTATGAAACATCCTAGGCAAAATATTACATGAAAAGAAAATAAAAAACAACAATGAAAATCAGCAGAGGTAGGTCTTACACTAAAGGAAAAACTAATCAAATGAGAAACCAAGTCAAGTTAAATACTAAAAACAAACAAAAATGGCTGGGAATATAAATCATGTCTCAGTAATAACCCTGAATGTTAATGGCCGAAACTCACCAATAAAAAAACATAGACTATCACCTTCCACCATCCTTGCTATTCCCCTTCCCCTCCCTTTCCCTCCCATCCCTTTTCCCTATCTAGAGGTAATCTTTCTCCCATGCTCTCCCTCCCTACACCACTTTGAGTCATGGTAAGGAAAAAAAATAGACTAGCATATTAGATTTAAAAAAAAAAATACCCAACAATATTCTGCCTTCAAGAGACTCATCTCATAGGAAAATACATCCACAGACTGAAAGGTTGGGAAAAATCAGACCACTCACATGGACTGCAGAAACAAACAAGGGTTTCCAACATCCCATCAAATAAAGTAGACTTCAAGTCAAAGTTAATAAAAAGGGATAAAGAAAGACATTTTATATTGCTCAAGGAAACCATACACCAACAAGACATAACAGTTATAAATATATATGCTCCCCAAATTGGAGCATCTACATTCATCAAACAAACTTTTCTCAAGTTCAAGAGTCAAATATACCACAACACAATAATTCTGGGTAATTTTAATGCTCCTCATTCACCTCTGGATGCATCTTCCAAACAAAAGCTAAACAAAGAAACTATAGAACTCAATAATACAATCAATAACTTAGACTTAAGTTATTGAACTTACTCTTCAACTTATTTCGTAAAATAGAAAAAGAGAGAGCACTTACAAATTCATTCTATGAAGCCAATATCACCCTGATCCCCAAACCAGGCAAATACACATCAAAGGAAGAAAACTTCAGACTAATATCTCTAATGAACATAGATGCAAAAATTCTGGCAAACCAAATACAAAAACATATCTAAAAGTTAATGCACCACCAACAAGCGGAGGTTATTCCAGGGATGCAAAGTTGATTCAACATATGGAAATCAAAAAATGTTATTCATCCCATCCCAATAGACTTAATTCATCCCAATAGACATAAAGATTAGAATCATAAGATCATCTTAAAAGATACAAAAAAAGCATTTGACAAACTATAGTACCCCTTCATGTTTAGAACACTAGAAAAACTAGGGATAACAGGAACATATCTCAACATTGTGAAAGCTATCCATGCTAAGCACAAGGCCAACATCATTCTAAATGGAGAAAAATTGAAAGCATTCCCTCTAAAAACTGGAACACGACAGAGATGTCCTCTTTCACCAGTTCTATTTAACTTACTTTTGAAACTATAGCCAGAGCAATTAGAGAGATGAAAGAAATTAAAGGGATATGGATAGTAAAAAGAAGAACTTAAATTATCACTATTTTCTGACAATATGATTCTATACCTAGAAGACCCAAAAAATTCCACCAGAAAACTTCTTGAACTAGTAAATGAATTCAACAAAGTAGCAGGATATAAAATCAACACCCATAAATCAAAGGCATTTCTATATAATCAGTGACAAATCCTCATAAAGAGAAACTAGGAAAACCACCACACTAACAATAGCCTCAAAAAAATTAAATAGTTGGGAATCAACTTAATGAAAGAAGTGAAAGATCTCTACAATCAAAACTACAGAACACTAAAGAAAGAAATTAAAGAAGACCTTAGAAGATGGAAAAATCTCCCTTGTTCTTGGATAGGCAGAATTAATATTGTCAAAATGACTATACTTCTAAACAAACTATATAGATTCAATGAAATCCCAATCAAAATCCCAATGACATTCCTCATAGAAATAGAAAAGGCAATCATGAAATTCATCTGGAAAAATAAGAGACCAAGAATCCCAAAGTAATCCTTAGCAAGAATAGAGAAGCAGGTGACATCACTATTCCAGAGCCTTAAACTATACTATAGAGCAACAGTAACAAAGACAGCAAAGGGGTGGGAGGGAAAGGGAGGGGAATGGTGGTAGAAAGGATGGTGGAATGAGATGGATATCATTACCTTAAGTACATGTATGAAGACACGAATGTTGTGAACATATTTTGTATACAACTGGAGATTTGAAAAATTGTGTTCTGTATGTGTAATATGAATTGTAATGCATTGTACTATCATATATTACAAGCTGGAATAAAAATAATTAATTAATTAATTTAAAAAACAAAAAGAAATAGAAAAGCAGTTATGAAATTTATCTGGAAAAATAAGAGACCCAGAATAGCTAAAGCAATACTTAGCAAGAATAGTAAAGCAGGTGGCATCACTATACCAGACCTTAAACTATACTACAGAGCAATAGTAACAAAAACAGCATGGTATTGGCATATTGGCACCAAAATAAACTGGTAGAACCAATGGTACAGAATAGAAGACATAGAGATAAACACACATAATTACATTATATTATATTAGACAAAGTCATCAAAAAATACATTGGAGAAAAGATAGTCTCTTCAACAAATGGTGCTGGAAAAACTGGAAATCCATATGCAACAAAATAAAATTAAGCCCCTATCTCTCACCACACACAAAACTCAACTCAGAGTGGATCAAGAACCTTGGAATTAAACAGAGACCCTGCACCTAATAGAAGAAAAAGTAGGTCCAAATCTCCATCAGGTGAGATTAGGCCCTGACTTCCTTAATAAGACTCTTATAGAGCAAAAGTTAAAATCAAGAATCAATAAATGGAATGAATTCAAACTAAACAGCTTCTTCTCAGCAAAAGAAACAATCAGTGAGGTGAATAGAGAGCCTACAGGATGGGAGCAAATTTTACTACACGTTCTACGAATATCAGATAGAGCACTAATCTCTAGGACATATAAAGAACTCAAAAATCTTAACACCAAACAAACAAACAAACAACTCAATGAATAAATGGGTCATGGGACCAAACAGACACTTCTCAGAAGATGATATGTATATCAACAAATATATGAATAAATGTTCAACATCTCTAGCAATTAGAGAAATGCAAATCAAAACTACACTGAGATTTCATCTCACTCCAGTCAAAATGGCAGCTATTAAGAATATAAACAACAATAAGTGTTGGTGAGGATGTGGGGGGAAAGACACACTCATACATTGCTGGTGGAACTGAAAATTGCTGCAGCCAATATGGAAAATAGATCACTCTCACCTAATCTCCCCAGAATCACCTTCATGTATTCAGGGTCATATGGAGATTGTTTTTGGAAAACGGAATGGAAACACCATTTGACCCAGCTATCCCACTCCTTGGTCTATACCCAAAAGACATAAAACAGCATACTACAAGGACACAGCTACATCAATGTGAATACCACATCAATGTGAATAGCTGCACAATTCATAATAGCTAAACTGTGAAACCAACCTAGATGTCCTTCATTAGATGAATGGATAAGAAACTGTGGTGTGTGTGTGTGTGTGTGTGTGTATGCAGTGGAATATTACTCAGCAATAAAAGAGAATAAAATCATGGCATTTGCAGGTAAATGGATGGAGTTGGAGAATATAATGCCAAATGAAGTTAGCGAATTCCAGAAAAACAAATGCCGAATGTTTTCTCTGACATAAGGATGCAGATTCATAGTGGGGTTGGCGAGGAGCATGGGAGGATTAGATGAACTCTAGATAGGGCAAAGAATTGGGAGAGAATGGGAGGGACATAGGGGTAGGAAAGACACTGAAATAAGATGGACATCAATATCCTAAGTCCATGTATGAAGACACGCATGGTGACTCTTCTTTGTGAACAACTAGAGATATGAAAAATTGGCCTCCACATGTATAATATGAATTGTAATGCATTCTGCTGTCATATATAACAAATCAGAATAAATTAAAGATAATAAAATAAATAAATAAATCATCCCCCCAAACTGTTGTAAATGTCCACTATAAAGTAAGTATTATTGCCCATATGCTAGGTGTATCCAGGGAGAAAAGTAAGTAGATAATTCGGACATTTATTTACAAATGCCCACTTTTTTTATGGACTTCCACAGACCCAGGTATGATCTCAAAAGAGAAAAACTGAACCTGCTGAGAGGGGGTTCACTCTCACCTGATCTCCCCAGAATCGCCTTCATGTATTCAGGATCATAAACGAGGACACGCACTTTGCTGCCCCACAGCCATTGTGGGAAGGCGCA